TTTTTTTGAGACAGGGTCTCCTTGTAGCCCCAGCTGTCCTGGAACTTACTATGTAGACCAGGCTGGCCTCGAACCGCCTGCCTCTGCCTCCCAAGTGCTGGGATTAAAGGCATATGCCACCATGCCCAGCTAATTTATTATCTTTTTATGTGTATGAGTGTATTGCCTGCATGTATGTGAGTGCACCGGTGTTGTGCAATGTCGTGGAGGTCAGAAGAGGGCTTTGGATTACCTTGGAACTGGAGTTTAGGATGGTTCGTAGCCACCATGTAGGTGCTGGGAATCGAACCTGGGTCCTCTGCAAGAGCAGTCAGTGCTCTCAACCACTGAGCCGTCTCTCCAGCCCCTTAAGTGCTTTTTAAAAAAAAAATAATTCTTCTCTTCTCTGCTAGGAAAAATTGAAAATAAATTACATTTTTATTCATTATTCAAATATCACCTTCATGTTTTTCCTATTCATGAAATTAATCGTCTATTATATATGCACCAAACCTTTGATGAATTAAAATTTCAGTAAAATTTGATATATAAGAACTTTTTCAGAAAAGAGAAGCAGGTTGTCAGTTTTTTTTAGGAAGAATTTTTAAAACTTCACTTTGTTACTAAAGATCAATTAACAAAGTAAAAAAAGTTGCATAATTTTGTGATTTGTTTTATATATATGAATATATATATGCATATCTATGTATATATAGATACATAATCATCTAGATTTTCTTTAATGTGCAGTGTGGTTTGTTAATATTTCTAATTTCTTGGAAATTTTCGGTGCTTTTTAGAAATTCTTTTGTGTTAGCCTCATATATAGCCAGACTAAATTATATACCATGTTTTCTTGTGATTTTCTTATAACTAATCATTTCAAAACTAACCATGAAGAAGCTTAGAGGAAGAAAAAAGGCCTGAGTATCTTAGGCCACAAAATCTACACCTTTCAAATTTAGGAGCCTATCGATTATGCTGAGATTCTCACAAAGCAAAGGGAACCCATAAATGGCAGTAAGCAGATATGAGAAAGGAAGGTCAAAGCATAGTTAATGCTCAGGTTGTAACTAGTTTGTTATTTTGTTATTTTTTTTTTTGTCGCTGGGGGTGGATCCCAGGAAGGACTTCAAGCATGCAAGGCAAATTCTCTACCACTGAGTCATAAATCCAGCTTCACCCCCATTTTAAAAGATAACAGAAGTAAAGGTTTTTTTTTTTTTTTTTTTTAAATTTAAAGGAATCTTTTAAAAATTATGTGTATATGTATGTGCCATTGTGGGTATATGCATATGAGTGCAGGTGCCTGTGGAAACCAGGGAAGTCAGATCCCCTATCACCTGGAATTATAGGCAGTTGTGATCTGCCTGACGTGGTTGCTGGGAATTGAATTTAGATCTTCTGGAAGAACAATATGTGCCCTTAACCGCTGAACCATCTCTCCAGACCCAGAAGTAAAGTGGGGTTTTTTTTTTTGGTCGTTTTGAGACAGGGTCTCCCTGTAGTCCCAGCTGTGTATGCCAGGCTAGCCTCGAACTCACAGAGATCCACCTACCTCTGCCTGGGATTAAAGGTGTGGACTGCCCGCCCGGCTGAAGTAAAGTGTTTTGAGGAAAATGTCTGAAAAGGCTTTTCTGCCTAATAGGATAAAATGAATGATCTAGAAGTTTTTAATTATGTAGAACATTTTCCAGGTTAAATGTGAGTCCAGCTGGAGTCTGAACTAGAATGTCAGTAACAAGGAGTTACCTAAGAAGCTGAGGTTTATCAGGAAACAGAAATCCAGCCCTTTTTTTGCTAAATGAAGAAATTATTTTCTGTAAAACTCTCAAAATGCAATACTGTATCTGTAACTTTCCTTGCATAGTTAGCTATTCTTGCTGACAGTGAGCTGAATCAAAATAGTCTAATGCTCCTTGTGGATGCATTGTCATGTTAATGACTTGACCATTTAAAAAAATCATTGGGACTTATTTGGTACTAAAGTTCAGTTGACCACAATATAAAACTGCACTCAATTTCCTTTTTGCTCTTTGAGGTTAAATCAGTGATTGCAGCATGGAACTGACAAGTTAATTTAAATTTATCTTTTCAGTTTTTCAGTTTCTAAAATGCTCAAGTATTATTTAAGTAGTTATTCTGGTAGTACTCAGGTACTGTCAGTTAAACTGGCATTTCTTTGTCCAGAATTGGTTGAGTTGATCTCTTTGACAGAAAATACATTGTCTGAAACTAGCAATGCTAAAGGTGAATATTAAATTTATATTCTAACTTCCACTACACTAATAAACCAATAAAGATCTACTTTAACTGTGAAAATATTATTTAGATGCAAGTATAATATTGGTTGATTGGTTGGTACTATAGCAAAATTAAAACTCTGCAGTGAGAAAGTTTCATAAATCATTTTCAACCAAAGAAATATGAGAAATATCTGCTATATATTTTTAATACAACTATGTTTACAAATGTATATGTAAGCTTTTTGCAACCTTGAGATCTTCAGGATGACTTTTAAAACAAGTATTTATTATTTTTATTTTATGTATATGAGTATATTGCCTGGATATATGTAAGTGCACCCATATTGTGCAGTGCCTGCTGAGGTCAGAAAAGGGTGTTGGATCCCCTGAAACTGGAGTTATGAATTGTTGTTAACCACCATGTAGGTGTTGGGAGCTGAACCCGAGTCCTCTGCAAGAGCATCCAATGCTCTTAAGCGCTGAGCCATCTCTCCAGCCCTTAAGGCTGACTTTCTAGGATATCAAAGATTGTATTGTTGAAGACTTAGCTCTGATTTTAAAATAGTCATGGTTGAGGGTGAGTGTATCCAGCACTTGGGAGGCAGAGGCAGGCGAATCTCTGTAAGATGGAGGCTAGCCTGGTCTACATAGTGAGTACCAGTCTAGCTGGGACTACAGGGAGACCCTCTCTCAAAAACATCCAAATAAGCAGAAAAGTCATGATATATTTCAATTTTTAAAATTGGTCATTTATGCCATAGATTGAAAAATGAAAACTGTTTGATGAAGGCAATGCGTAGAAAACATTTTTAAACCATCAAACCCATCTTTGATACTATAATGAATTCTTTTCCTACAGACTTATTTAGGAGTAAGTTTGCTCAAGACATTCAGCAATATCAAAATATAAGTCTATATTTAAATTGTTTACATCTGGAGATAACGGGTAGTTTTGCAAATTATTGTAGCTTCAAAAATCAAGTTAAAATTTATGTTTCTGTAAAATTGTAATAACAACAGAATATAATAACACTTATGAAATAGTTGTTTGAATATTTAGGTTGATGAGAAGAATTGAGGTTTATTGTCATTGTTTTAAGATATCTGAAGAGTTGTCAAGTAGGAAAGTCATCAGTTTACTCTGTATGGTCCAAAAGAGTGAAAATAGAGTCAATAAAATTATCATTGGACAAAATTTGGGGGTTCAACTTATTTTAAATAATCAGAGGTATCAGAAGGTATAGTAGACTTCCCTCTTAAAATAAGCTCCTGTGGTAACACCTGCTTTAAACCTCGGCCTCCCAAGGCTCAGGCATCTTTGCAGAAGAGGGTGAAAGATTGTAAGAGCCAGAGGTGGTGGATGACCACAATGAAATAGTCTTCCAGACAGCTGGTCAGTCCCTCATGAACCTCAGAGCCATGGTGTTGCATGCACATGGTCCTGTGCAAGCTCAAACCAGACAAAAGTCCAGCATAGACATGGGGAGGTGGGTAGGAAATCCCAACCCAACCTTAGGAACTTTAGGAAACTGGTGGCAGCTGGGAAGGGAAAAGACAGTGTCTTACATGGATGGCACTCTTGCTGGGCTCTGCAGATGAACCCATGCTGAAGGACATTTAGGGACACAAATCAGACTCTCTAGGCTATATTTTATATATCTACACACACATGAGTACTTTAAATTGATTAGGAGACAGTGGAGGAGGTGTGGATAGGGAAGAGAATAGAAATACCATCAAACTATATTGTGTGAAAATCACAAAAATTAAAAAAAAAAAATCTGTATACAAAAGCTCCTGTAACTCGAAGGGGCTCAGGCAGAGATTGCACAAGTTACCACATGGTGGTGCTGTTATATAGCAAATCCAAGCCACAGATTCCTGTTGGGCCTTGATCTTCAAGTTCCTTTTAAATTGTTCAGTTTTGTTAAGCCCAGTGCCTAGTGCATTGTTTATACTTGAGTAGGGTACTTGATATGTATTCATGCATTGTTTAAGGGAACAGGGAACTATAAAACTTTATTTCTGTTATCTCTGCATTTTTTATTATATTAGAAGAACAGATTTTTGATTTAATCTTTAGTCTATTTGATGGTTCTTTGAAACATACTCATTAGAATCCAGGCATTAAAATAAATATAGTGGGGTCTGGAGAGATGGCTCACTGCTTAAGAGCACTGACTGCTCTGCTACATGGCGGCTAACAACTGTTCATAACTCCAGTTCCAAGGGATC